GGCGGGTCAGGAGAGGTCTGCCACGCCATGTGGTCACCTCCAGAGCAGGCAGGAATCGAACTCATGTGGAAGCGGCTTTAGCTTCTCAGTGCTGTGCTTTAACCCACTGCGCCACCAGGGAGGGCCGCCACATTTATTTTTTAATAGTCTTCATAGTACGTGCTTTCAAACTGTATTAGAAAGTTATATCATCACATATGACACAGCTCATGAAACACCCTGTAAGGGAACCTCTCAGATATGTCTGTCCCTTAGCATGAAGGTAGCTTGCATTATGTACATCCTATTCTTTCCCATGCTTTGGCAGTCACCAACCATGAGCTCAGTATCTACAGTGGTTAAACTTTATATCATTTGGGCCTCAGGGAAATGTTTTCAGCATGTTGACTCTGAGATCAATACTACACCTGATTTTCTTCTTTCTCATTGCTTGACACTGATAGTAAAGTAGTTACTAGTAGTAACTATAAAAACAAACATGTCTTCATTATACCTTCTATAGACACAGCACTTCCCTTGCATAAATTTATTAGGTAAGTCAATTTTACAATCTAAAGGGAAGTTTATCTAGAACATCTAATTCAGATCTACATAACTGTGTATTTCAGTAATTATGTTTTACAGTATCACCTTTATTTATTACCCTTTCCCATGTCTCTGTGTTAGGAGAATGCCACTGCTCCAAAGCCAATAGCTCTCACCTTTAAAGTGTCCACCACAACACAGAAAAGTAAAAGAACTTCTAGGTGCTCTGTACAACTTGCCACATAACTTTCAAGAAGAATGGTTTGTCAACCTGCCTCACCTAGGGAACTGCAGAGCTGAAACTGCCTAACATACTTGCTGCATTCATACCCATGTTCATCCATAGGCTAAACTCCCCCACTGAACTTTGAGAGTGCTGACAGACCCCTGTAGATGTAACTATTTTTTGCTCCTATAAATCTTCTGGTAATCATCTCAAGAGAATGAAAAAACAATAGAACTATCAGTTGTGACAGGAAAAAAAATCTGTCTCCTCTGAAGGCAAGTTAATAAGCAGAACTCCAAGGATTGTCTAGGGAGAAAGAAGTTCTCCTTGCTCACCTCAACTATGTAAGTCTCCACTGAGTACCGCTGGGCTAGGTGTTATTGTGCTGTGTCTCAGAATCAGGATTTGACTACCTGTAGGTGATTAATGAACTGCACTAGGGCTAGACATCAGATCTTGATTCTGGGTTCCATCTTCTTTACTCTACATAGCTACTTAAATCCAACTTGGAGTATCATCACAGTCTGTACTGCATTATGTGGCTCCATTTTTGTACCTGCCTTTACATTTGTTTGACAGATAATTTCCAAAACTTATGTTAAGTGCACCAACTTGTAGAAATATGGTACCCAGAATACCGTGACATCGTTCAATAGTTTTAACTAGAACCACAAATACATAATCATTTCTCCCTAACTATATCCAAACTTAAAATTTGGATAAAATTTTGGTAAAATTTTGGTCTGTTAATTTTTTCTTTTAGTGTTTATTTAAAAGGACATTCTCAACAATTATCTAGCGTCTTATACCATCTTTTAGGTGCAATACCATTTCATGTATTAGTAAATTTGTATTTATACAATGAAATGAATTTGTGAACTTTAATTACATCAACTTTGTAGATTCAACTTTAATTGTATCTGTATGAGAAAGTACTTGAAATGACTGAAACGGCATTTCAGAGAGGTGTTTCATGATCTACATTTCAATAACAGAGGACAACTTTTCCAGTTAATCTGAACTAGTACCACTGAATTAATATTAACTCCCTTTGGAGAATATCCTGGATGTTCAGAATACAGTTTGAAACCATAATGCCTGGAGGTAACCTGGCTCACCGATTACCCTCTCAAGCAAATGACAATACTTTGGTACTTCAACCTTTCTCATTTCTATAAAAGTAATAATAATATCTACTCCATAGAGTTGTCACTATTGTATAAGATTTTAAAGTGCTTAACACATTAGTAATCATTAGACACACCATTTTGAGGTGAACATAAATCATGTGGTAGGTTTGCTTCAATTTCACTCAGTCTAATTAAATTACATCAACAAAACAAAACAACAGCTATAGGTATTTTGAAGTAGTTTCTAATATGGCAATTATTAGGGAGAACCCATTTAATTGGTTCATATTAATTAGTATTAAATTGCATGTGTTATATAAAAATAAAAGGCCCATAAAATTAGTAAACAAAAAAGCCTGACGTGTATGCGGCAAAAGTTCACTCACAAACACTGCAATCTCGACAGAGCCCAGCAATATGAGCACTGTCAGATCTCCGAGTCTCTGAAGAGAACCATCTCATGAAACACACAGATGAGCACGATTCAACTATCATTGCAGCCTACTGTCTCACAGTGATCGAGCTGTGAGCATGGTGGGTGAGTTCCTAAGAATTTGGGTGGAGGTCATGGGGGCGTTATCATGAGGTGGGGGTGTGGCCATAGGAGGTGGGGACGGGCCATCAGGTGGACACTACAGAAGGCTCAAATCTACTACTGGTAGATTTGCTTCTGGCCTCCTAAAGCCTGAGCTCACATGGTCTCCCTTGACTTGTGGCCGCCATATTCATGAAGTAGATCCGGGTTTGGGACACTAGAACAACATGGAGTCTTAAAGCCAGCTCATGTTGTGCAGCTTCTTGTCGTGTGGCCCTTCTGAGCTTATGGGTCATGAAAACTTCGCTGTCACACAGGTGACCTGCTGTGAGGGTCATATAGAGGCTGTGTTCACACACCCCCTGTGGCCATTGGTCAAACCCAGCCATCTTAAGCCTGTGAAGATGGAGGGCTACGGAAGGGCATTGGCACCCACATGGTGCTGACACGTAGCAGGAAGTGCCTTTGCAGTCACGTGAGCACTAGAACCGCCCAATCACCAGTGGCTATGTAAATTATATGGTCACGTGACATGCTGTCTTAGGTTGCTAAGCTCCAGGCTTTTGTTTGACGTGGCAAATTTCTTTTATTACTTGGAGTTTTAGAACTCCTGAGCCCTATAGCCACTTGGGTCTTACCAGCATATGGCTGCAGCCACGGAAAGAACTAGCAGTCAGGTAGGGTTCCACAATTGTGGCTTTCTTGGGCTTTATTGTTATAGGATGACCATCCCCACCCCCCCACCCCCCGCCTGTTGTCCTGTAGAAGTATCTACATTTAAAGTGTGTGGACAGCTCCTGAGTTCAAAGGAGAAATTAGGAAGTTCAAAAGACCTTGAGAATGTGGCTCTTGCTCATTCAGGTAAAGCTTTGAGGAGACTTTGAATTTGACCCCAAATTTTCCCTCAAATATTACTTCTCGCGGCACCATACGGTACTTGGCTTCAGGGACCCAGAGCTAATTGTGAGTGTATCGCGAGTTGGTGCGAGAACGGGCAGCAAAGGTCGTGCGTGGACACTCTGCCGTGAGTTGGCTGATAGCCCTTCCCTGCTCCCACATCCACGTGGTGCCCTTGCCTATCACCTGCGGTTTGTCGTGTGCGTTGTGGTGGCTTCCTCGGACCAGTCGTTATTAGGACACCGCGGACTTCCTGGGTGCCATTTTATAGCGATTCCAAATCTGACCTCCCTTTCTGTCTCCGACTCGGTTCTTTGAGACAGGCGTGGAGAATTTTGAAATATAATTTGTTTTAAAACGAATATATGAAAATAGTCATAATGTCATAATGTGAAGATTCAGTGTTTACTTGTTGTATACACTTTACAGGGCAGACGTTTTTCAAGGTGCTTTGGGGAGGGATGCCCTCGTCTTTTTGTGCTGGGGATCGCTAAATGGTTAATCTTACCAGCCAGCGCTATGTCTTTCCGGCTTTGCTTCTGTTTTCTAAGTATCAATATTTAGTGTCATCAAAACCAAGATTTTTTCACTCGTGTGGATAAAATTAGTGCATCTATTTCAGAAAGCATATTATGTAAATAATAGGTCATACATATACTTAATATAATCTTCAAGATGATACTGAATGAACACAATTCATCAAGTAAAGTTTGTGTTATTATGGGGGATTTAAAAAATAGTTTGCTTTGTGATTAATAAATATTATCTTTTGTGATTTTTATATTTTTAGCCATTTTATTTGCCTCCTGTTTCAGCCCAACAGGGATTGTTATAGAAAGTGCCATGGCTGAGAATAAAAAACAAAACTGTGTTCTACCACCCATGAAGTATGGAGATAAAGGTAAAAGGATTTAAATTCTTATGTTTTTAGACAATATGCCAGTATTTAATGTAACTCTCAGATAGAGGGTTGTTGTCTTACCTTTCAGACTACTTGTGGCAGGACATAGTACTGGGTGACTTTCAATTAACAGAAACTTAATTCCTCACATGTCTGGCGGGGTGGGGTGTCCTGAATCCAGGCAGGGAAAGAGTTAGGGTCGTGGGAAGTCCTGCTCCTGGCTGCTCGGTGACAATCTACTTGCCATTTCTGAACTTTCAGGAAAGGACAGGAGAGCTGTCTGGAGTTACTTTTGTAATGACACTAAGCTCACTCTTGAAGGAGCCTCCCTCAATCTTGCCCGCAAGACCCCAAAGACCAACATGTTAGAGATTAGGTGCGAATGCAAATATTCTGTCTATAGCAGTGTATATGGAACAGACCATTTTCTGCAGACCATTTATAGGTATTACTATTCTACAATAGACTTTCTTGTTAAACCCTTTCCAAAACAGATTGCTTCTACTATATAAATTATTTGACCTTTGTTTACTGTTGTTTCATATCTTTTTACTTTTTCATTTTTTACAGACACTCCTTAAGTTTAAGTGTGTTTCTGACATTAGGACAGGAGAAAAGTACATAAGTGAAGTTGTTAGTTCCTTGAATCTCTAACAACAATGAAAAGCAAGATGTACAAAATGCTGTATCTCATTTTATGTTAGTTTTCCTCACCTTTTCAAAACCAATTTGTTATTGTCTCTGATAATCATAGCTCCCATTTGTTGTTTTTATTCCTTTTTCTTCTCAGTTGTTTATATATAAAATGTTGTTTTGTTGTGTATTGATATAGTTAACCGACTTTTTTTGGTTATTCACCTATAGTTGCTAATAAGATTTTGGTCATGGTAAGATTTTCTAAATAAAAAGCCATGTCATCTGCAAAGAGAAATATTTGCGCTTCTGCTTTTCTGAGAAAGATTTCCTGCTTTTGTCTGATAAATCTGACCAAAAGCTCCAATGTAAGTTGGACCATAGTGGTGACAGTGAACATCTGAGACTTGCACTTTTTCTTAAGGAGGAAAAAAAGAGCACAGTTTTTCACCATGAAGTCTTACATTGGTGGTTTGCTTGTAACATATTACTTTTATTTTATTGAGTTAGTGGAATGAGTTTAGTTGCTGATTGTATTTGGAAAGCCTGGAGAGATTGCCTCGAGGTATCACCAGCTGTGGTTACTAGAGAAACCTGAGAGAACTGAAGATTCAAAGGTCTTCCTGATCTGTCATGTACCCCTTTTCGCCATTAATTATTGTTTCATATTTTAAAATTTGTCAACCCAGTTTCTTCCTCTTCTTCCCCATTATACTCTTCCTTCAAACTTTCTTCCTGAGAGTGCCATTTGTCAGATAAGCCTCTGCAGTCCTAACAGGAAGATGCCATTCCTATGGGGACTCTGTGTGGTCTGTCCCTTAGGGCAGACATTCCTCTGGACCTACCACAGTGTTACCTTTAGGCACAGCTCAGGTGAATCACAGATGTATCTTCAAACTAACATTTTTGTGCCTCATTTCAGAATACAATGGCAGTGGTACCTCATCTCAAGAGAAAAAGAAAGATCGCAATTCTTTGGGACATAGTTGCGATGGGAGTGACACTAATGATGAACACAGTGAATATGGTGCTCAGTCTCCAAACTTGCAGGAAAAGAATGGAAACGGGGAGATGAAAAATGGACAAGAGGACCTAGAAATGAAACAGTAAGTGGCCAGGCAGCCGAGTTCGCCTGTAATAGTTCCTGCAACTATGCACTCCCTGCCCTCCAGGTCTGCTTGCTCTTCTCTCATTAGAAGGAAGCGAGAGTTGAACTGTGAATACCAATCCCAATAGTAGTTATGGCGTCAGACAAGGGTGTGTTGCAGACATTCCTCACATTTATGCCCATCCTGCTTCTCTCCACTTCCCCTGCAGCAATCCCAATGACATCCAACGAAACAAGAGGTCAGTGAAATGGCACGATGAGGACAGCATCCATATTAATATGTGGAATGATAAAAGGCCTGCAGGGAGAAAAATGGGAGAGAATCCACTAGATGATATAGCAGCAAACTGGTTTAGGATCACAGTGAGTATCCTGGAAAACCAATGTTATGTTCAGAGAAAAGGCTCAGGGACAGCTGTGCTGGTCTGCTACAGAAACCTCGCTGCTCTGACAGCACAGTTTATAGTCTCTTCCTTATATTCAAGGAGTTGATATTCTTACTCAGCTCAGGGAAAATTCAGAGAAGACACATAAAGGGAACCGCTGAGTGTAGGGAGGATGGGGAGGTTATCAAAAGGCACTGCTGGAAACCACTTCCAGGAGGTGGAGCAGCTGCCTACCTGATGCCTCAGTTTGCCTCCAGCTGAGTGACTGATGCAGGTCAGGTGAGGCGTCTGAGGCAGGCTTTGAAACGCAAGTGGCTCTTGCAAGCAATGATCCTGTGGAACTGTGTAAAAGGAAGCTAGGGCAATTTAGTTATTTGAGGAGAGAATGGAGAAAAGGGGTGGGGGTGTAAGGGATCTTTATTAGGCATAGAAGTAAGAACTCAAGCCAGTGGGTCCACCTTTAATAGCCCTCTGCAGCTCAGCAGTAGGTCAGACAAGAACCCGTGATGGTCTGTTCTCCAGCCTTAATTCCATGTTGTGTCTCTTCTCTCTTTTAATCCCTTTCACCTTCAGATTCCTAATGGGATGAATTACGATAAGACCTGGCTAATAAATTTACTCCGGAACCATTGCAAAATACACTTCATTCCAGTGGATGTAAGTGAGGGCAGTGAAGGCAGAAGAGTGGGGACAGGGAAGGAGGGTGGGATAGGAAGTAGGCTGAGAAGGAAATCTCTGTCTCCAAAATGATTGTTGCACCCCGTCCTGCAGTTCCACTATGTGAAAAACCGGGCTCGGTTCTTTATCCAGAATGCCAAAGTTGCCTCTGCATTGATGGATGTCAATAATAAGATTTATGATGAGGAGAAACAAGAGGTATGTGTCAAGGCATTACCTGCACAGAGTGCTAGGACAGTTGGACAGGCCAGTGGCCAATCATCCCGTCATCTGGAATTAGAGATCCTGGTGCTTACCTGACCTGTCCTTCTTGCAGATCTCTATCTTAGTCAAGAAATGTACGGAGCCTTACTCTGATTGGAACATGTTGGAACTAGAAGAACGGGACAAGCTAGAGGTAGAATGGACTCGATGCATGTTGTGTGCCCACCCAAACCCACAGCCAGACCTGCCTCTTTTACCCATACTAAATTTGCGATCCGCATCACACCTCAAAATGGCCCTCTCCACCTCTCCCTGCAGGTGACCATGAAGAAACGATATGATCCTTCCCGCAGAGCTCTTGACCTTCAGAAGCTCCGCTTTGACCCAGGTTCGTCTAACAGCACAATTCTAGGGCAGATGAGGGCACAGGGAGACTGCCTGTGGTAGGGGGGCGGAAACACATGTGGATGGTAGCTTGGGTGGGGTGCAGCAGGCCCTGGGTCCCAATTAGCCATTTCATTCCTTATTACCCATGTTCTGAAGATTTGTTAGGCCATGAGATAAATATAATGCTGAATCGAAGGAGCTGCATGTCCACTATCCTGAAGATCATCAAAAAGAATTTCCCCCAGGTGAGACCTCATGCCCAGTGCTGACATTGTGGTAGGAGGTGGAAGAGGGTGGATTAGGGAGGGAAGTGTGGAGGACAGAGTTGTCTCCCAGGCCCCAGATACGAGGAAATGATGCTCTAACCCTTCTTCCATACAAGCTCTTGTCCCTCAACTTGTGTGACAACAAGCTGTACCGGTTGGATGGCCTGAGTGACATTGTGCAGATGGTCCCCAAAGTCAAGATCTTGAACCTTTCAAAAAATGAGGTGAGAACAGAATCAGAGCAAAGCTAGGTCAGGGGTGTGTAGTGCCTTCAAATGATGGCAGGAAGCGGTCACATGACAATGAGGGAAGTTGAGGCTCAACTACAGCAGCCCCATGTCTCCCTTCCAACTCATTCTCCAATTCTGCCCTGCCTTCATATTTCTCAGCTAAAGTCAACATGGGAGGTGTGTAAGATGAAGGGACTAAAGCTTGAAGAACTTTGGCTTGATGGTAACCCCCTGTGTGACAACTTCTTAAAGAAGTCCAACTATGTCAGGTCAGTGGGCAGCCCTCATCTCCTGGTCTTCGGGAGAACCAAGGGGCCCGTCTCTCTCCTCTCCCTCTGGGTCCCTCACCTGTGCTCAGAGGCCTCCTCTGCTTCCTCCGAGCTGCTGGCGGTTCTCCTAGCCTGGGGCCTGGCTGAGTCTGCATCCAGCCTCCTCCAGTGCGCCCTGCCAAGCGCGTGCCCCAGGAAGCAGGGCTTCCCCTCCTCACCAGCCCCTCCAGCCCACCCCACCCCCCCAGTCATTAGCTTTGAGCCCAATGTGGTGCCCCAGACTAAGAAGGGTCATCTGGCCCGGGCCTGGTGCTGAGAGAGGCCTTCTTGCCTTGTGCTGGGACCAGGCTGCCCTGTCCTATTCTGGGGTGGGGGTGCCCTCTTTTCTAGCTCCAAGCCCCCCCCCTTACAACCCCAGTTGACACGGGAGCTTTCCTGGCCCGAGCTGGGGGCTGAGGCCCTGGGTGGCTGTCATGATGACAGTGTTCCTCTTGCCTGGTGCCAGGAGCCGGGACCTCCTGGAAGAAACCTGGCTTTCCTGAGTCCAGGGTCTGAGGTGGACCACCACCAGTGAGCAGAGGCTTCATGAGGGAGGAAGGGCAGGCTGAAAGCAGAGGCTCTGAGGAGCCAGAGGACAGACCTCTCGGGCACCTTTGTCCTGCTTGGCCCCTCAGAGGTGTCCGAGGTAGCCTGACCCCAGGCAAGAGACTGAGGAAGACAGGCACAGATGCCCAGGACCATCAGGAGAGCAGGTGGTGACATAAGAGGGGCTGCAGACCCCTTCCCATGCTGAGCTGGGCCTGGCCCCTCCCTCCTTCTGGGGAGGGTGTCCGTTCAGACTGGGCTCTAGGGATAAGGAAGGATCCACGGCCTCCTCCTCCAGAGGGCCCCAGCCCCACAGGGCATGTTTTGCATTCCCATGTGGGGCCAGCTAGGAGCAGGTGAAGGGAAGAGCTTTGGGGGGGAGGGTAGGGGAGCCATTTCCCCTCCTTCCTCTCTTCTTCCGGCCCCCCATCCCCTTGCCTTCTGTCTCCTGGTGCTCTGTACCTCTGAGACTCTAGGGTGTCCCGTCCTACCTTCACCCCCTTTGAGTCTTCACCTGCCCCTTTCCCTCCTGCCTGCTGAGTTCTACCTCACTCCCCTCCTGCCCACATCCGGGCCATCCCCGGGCGGTGGGGGTGGGGGCCTGGTCCTGTGAGGTAGCAGCACTCCGGGCTCCCATGCCATGGACTCCTCTCTGAAGCCTTGGGGGAGGGTGGTCCTGCAGGCAGGGAGGGGCCCAGAATCTGGGGGCCTGGGCTCCAAATGCTGTGTCTTGGGGGTGGAGAAGGGAGAAGGAGTCGGGGAGTCTAGCCTGGAGCTACTGCCCCAGGGGAAAGGAGCAGGAGAGACAGGAGAGATGGAGCAGGGGCTTGACAACCCTGAACTGTCAATCACTCCTTTCTGCTTTTTATGGACAGTACCGTCAGGTCTTGCTTCCCCACGCTGCTGCGCCTGGTAAGTGCCTGTGTTCATCGCTGTCTCTTTCTAGCATTGATCATCTCCATCCCTGCCCTCATGTCCTTGGGGTCTCACCTGGATGACTTGCTCTCATTGCTCCCTTACCCCTTTTAGGAGACAAACTCCAGAAAAATACTTGAATATACTAATTGGAAAAACGTAGACATTTGCATACATATGGACACAAAGTATGCATTTGATAGTAGACATGCTTTTAGAGACATATTGGTTTATGTATAGAAGAAGTGGGTTGTAAATTGAAGGTTTCGGGGGTGGGGTGGGGTGAGACGAATCACAGAGACATGAGACAGAGTGGGAGCAGAACAGGCAGATGTACTGAAAATACTCTGCTGAGGGGAGCAGCGCGGGCCGGGACAGGAGAGGGCTGCTGCACCCTGTGAGTCAGCTCTCTGGCTGGGATCCACTCAGGCCAAGGTGGTGATAGTGCTGAGCCTTAACCTCTAGGCCACCAGGGAGGCCCCATTAGTAGACATTTCTCAGACGTCATGATGTGATTCTACCCATACAATTTCTGGGATCCTCTCACCCCTGACCACTGACTCCCACCCTCTTCTCGTCCCACCCTTCCCCCTCATTATCCGTGGCCAACTCTGTGTTCTCCACTGCTGACTTTCTCTTCCCTTCGCCAGGATGGCAAGGAGTTACCACCACTACTCTCTCTTAGCACTGACGCCCGCAACTTAATAAAGCTCTGCAAGGTGAGGAAAGAGGAGCAAGCAATGTTGGGGTATTGCAGGGGACACCCTGTGAACCCCTAGCCTTGACTGTCTCTTGATTTCAGGAAAGCTATAAAGGACCTGAGATGCTAAGAAATCTAGTCCTGCAATTCCTGCAGCAGTAAGTATTCCTGGGGCCAAGAGGAAAGGGGGCCTGGAGAGATGGAGTCTCTGAGGCTCAGGACAGCTTGTGGGTCTTTGCATCTCATTTGGGGCCCAGACCACAGAAATCCACTTTGCCCCTTGTCTCCCCACAGGTATTACCGGATCTATGACTATGGGGACCGACATAGCCTTCGGAATACTTACCATGAGGAAGCCTGCTTCTGCCTCACCATTCCCGTCATTCCTCAGGAAGCTGTTCTGTGAGTATCACTGCCCACACTCTCATTGTGCTGTTGGACTCACCGGCAGACATGAGCCAGCTTCAAGAAACACCAGCTGACCCGATCGTCACCTCCTTTTTGCTTTCCTTTTTTGAAGATTTATTTATTTATGCATGTAAGAACTGGGGTGTAGGCCAAAGGTGTGGGGGGAGAGAGGATTCAGCAGAGACAAAGTGGGGACCAGAACAGGCGGATTGACTGAAACTCACTGCTGAGGGGAGCAGTGGCGGGTCGGGAGAGGTCTGCTGCACCACGTGGGTCACCGCCCTGGCCGGGGATGGAACTGGTGCTGCAGTGGTTGCAGAGAGCTCCACAGTGCTTTTCTTTAACCCGTTTTGCCACCAGGAAGGGTCACCTACTTTTTTCTTTCTCCTAGAAGCACCCTCAAAGACAGCAGGGACATTATAAAGATGAAAGACCAGTGTAAGTGTGTGATGGAAAACATGGACAGGGAAAAGCCATGCAGGGGTCAGTCATGAGAAGCTGACAGTCCCCCACCTTTGCTTTGTCTCCTCCCCTCACAGATCTGCGGTGTGAGCTTGTGAAACATAAAAAACATGATATCATAAAGACTCTATGTTTATTGCCCCAAACTCAGCATGATCTCAACTCCTTCCTTATCGATATGTGGATTGAGATGGTAAGCACCTGCTTCCTTCCCAGGGCGGGCCCATAAAGACACAGGTGGGCATGAAGCTGAAGTGGTAACTGAGCACCTGGGCATTTCCCTTTCAGGAAACCAAGCTTTGCTTCTCTGTTCATGGGGTGTACAAAGAACGTGAGTGTGTGTAAATTTATACCCAGCCCCCAGCGCCCCACAGCTCCCTACTCCTGGTTGCTTGGCTCTTACAATCCTCCCAGATCCCACAATCCCTTGCCTTACCCCCTTCCCTGTGTTCTTCAGTTCCCACCCTGCCCCCAATCCTGCCTGTCTGCCCCACACCCACACCCACCCCGCTGGGGAGTCAGGGAGGGACACAGGCCGCAGGCTTCCATGGCCTCACCCCAGGTCCTTCCTCTGGGACCTGGGAGCCCCTGCTGAACCGAGAGCAGTTTCCTCATTTGAAAAATGGGGTTCCTGACACCCCAGACTTGGTTAGCTAGGAAACACGAGTGGCTGAACACGTGGACCGGCTGTCACGGGACTTGGCGCGCAGTCGGGTCCCTGTCCCTGGGGGCAGGTGGCTTCTGTTGTTGCCCTGCCCGTTCCTGATTCCTAGGGAAAAGTCTTCCCCTGATTCAGCCTAGGTGGTGAGGGAGACCCTGACTGGGGATCGACAGCAGTGTATGAAGCATGTGAACCCCAAGGGGGTGTTATGTTTTGTTGTCTTTCATTCAAGTGGTAGGAAGGTCTCCGTATACTGTTCATGCCTTCAGCAGAATCTTCACTGCTACCCTTGGCAAAAATTCCAGGTGAGCCCTTATGTTGGGTGTGGGAAACCCAGGGTGGCCTGGGTCAGCAGTGGGGGATGTGACTGTGGGGTGTCCTCGACATTGTGCACAGTTTGCTGGGAGATCGTGGTGCAGTCTGGCCTCGCTGTTAGGAGCAACATGGGCCTGGAGTCAGCCCTGGGGCTCCCTGACTGATCCCGACACTCACTAGCTGTGTCACCTTGTCTAGTTACAGGACCTGTGTGTGGCACGGTGTCCCCTCTGCAGATGGACTTAGAGTGTCCTCTCCGGTGCTTTACACAGCAAATGCACTGGGGTTCCCCGGTACCTGTGAAGCTGAAGCTAGAGGCATCTTTGCAGAGTTGGCCTTTGTGGGAGGGTGCAGGTACCCTGAAGGGTGCTGGGAGGCAGGCAGTTAGCGGGGTAGAAAGATTCTGACTGCTGAGCAGCAGAGGAAGAAGATCATGTCGCGTGTTTGTCCAGGTGCCTGAGATCCTATTTTTTTCCTATAGTCTCCTCATTGAAAATGATGAGATGATTATAAAGGACGCCTTTCAGGATGAGCTCAAGAGTGTGTTCTCTGAACCACTTCCTCCAGCCACCTCCAGCTCCATGCCTGTCCGCTCCCAAGGACAAGGCGAGATGGCACAGGCTTCCTCCCTGCAGTCTAAGATGAACCAAGAGGACTCTCAGAAGTGAGTGCTGGGTGCGGTCTAGGAGGAGTGTGAAAGAGAATGGTGGAAAACTACCATTTTCCTATTTTGTTATTCATTCCAAAAGTAATAAGAAATTCCCTCTTTTATTAGTAATACATCTAAATTATGTGTGCCAGGTATGGACCTGCACATTGGGCTGTGAAGCATCTTCTGTTTACTCATCAGCTCTCCGTGTATATTACATCTTGCTCCTTTAAATCTGGGCACAGAACAGTTGACTTCAGGCAGGCCCGCAGCTACTGTTGTGGACACGCCTCTTCACTGACTTAGCACCACACCCAGTGCCACCTTCTCACCCTGGCACCGCATCTAGCTAAACTCAGAGCCAGGCTTCTGCAGCACACCTTCAGTGGTGACATGGTGGGGCCGGAGTTTCCCCTGAGGTCCCCCACAGAGCTCTCAGCATTCTGGCAGCTCTCTCCCACAGACGGCAGCCTTCACTGGTCACAGGGGTCCTCTGTGCTTTCGAGATGAAAGGGGTGGATTTGAGAATTCAGGGAGGCTCTGTGGGCTGACGGCAGGTGTTCTGGGGACCATGCCAAGGTCAGGTATCCTGGCTCTGCTGATGGTGCAATTCTCTCCCTTTACTTTCTCCAGACCATGGACAGAGTACTAAAGGAGGCCTGTGTGACCTGGACCCTTGAAAACAAAACTTCATTTTCTCATGTTCAGCCTCCTCATATTTGTTTTCTCTGTCACAAAGTGTGTTTTCTTCATCACAAAGCCTCTTCCAGGACTGGAAGCCACTTACCAGCCACTTACCAGGAAGTGAAAGTTTCCCCCTCAGCCTGTCTGTTGTTCTGTAACTTTTACACCTATGATCCTTCATTGTTTTCGTTTAAACTGTAAGGTAATAAAAGTTTCACGAACGTGCTGTTCCTCTCACAAACTGCCTTCCTGTCCTTAGCATCATTACATCACTCCCTATGGCGCGGGAGAAATGTGTGCCCACGAGGCCTAGACTACTGGGCCGTTGACTGACAAACACAAATGCCGGTGGGCCCTCTGTTCTTTGTGCCCCTCTGCCGCCGGCCGGCTGGGGCGTCCCGTCCACAGCAGTGACCTCTCCTGGCACCGTGAGAGGGTCAGGGTGCTGCCGCACTTTGGAGGCAGGAGAAGTACTTGTGCTTCTTGGCACTCTCCTGCCCAGGACTGCAGACAAAGTGTGAGGACACCCGGGTCAGGGGACAGGAGGGGACTGGGTAGGCGGGACTGGGCCGTTCCCCCTCTAAGCCATGAAGACCATCTCACTGAGACTGGAGTGTGTTGAGGGAGAGGAGAGGCACTTAGGTACCGCTAGGCCCCACAAGAAGATGAGCATCGTGTGGGTAAACAAAACCTCACCTGAGGCACCTGCTCAAACACGGTCATCAGCACGAACGTGAACCCCACGGCACTGAAACTGCTTGTTTCCAGGTACAGCGTGTCTCCAGGCAGCAGAGGCAGAGGCTTGAGTTCAAGAGCTACCTGTGCTCAGGCGGACTGAGGTTGCTCAGCTCTCCGGGCAGTGCACGCTCTGGAGGCCCGCAGGGACATCCATGTGGCAGGGGGCCTTTTCTCCCTCAGTGCCCTGCAGCAGCTTCGCCTCACCATTAGACTCAGCTATTTCTGTGTCAGGATAGGCTGACTAAAAATTGATTGATTCCTTTTATTTTCTATTTTCCAATTTCACTATTCTGCATTAAAGCAGTTTTCATAAATACATGAAAGTTGACAATACAAAGAATCACTGCCTTTTTGATGATTGGCCTTTTTCTATAGAGATTCTTTAAATTTCCACATGGCTTGTCTTTAAAAGCTCTGGAGATTGGGCTCTCCCCGGTAGTGTAACAAGTTAAAGCACAGCACTATGAAGCTCTCAGAAGCTACAAGTTCAATCCCCAGTGAGGAATTAACCTACATGGTGCTGCAGACCTCTCCTGACCTGCCCACTGCTCCCCTCATCAGTGTGTTTCAGTTCTGCTCCCCACTCTGTCTCTGGTGAATCCTCTCACCCCCCACACCTCTGGCCTATACCCCTGTTCTGTAAGCATAAATAAAGAAGTCTTTAAAAAATAAAAGCTCTGGATATTTAGAAAAAAGTTGAAGAGTTCAAAGAATAATTTATTCACTTGTATGGTAAAAGAATTTGCCATAAGTAAAACAATATGTGTATGAAAGAAAACAAAAATAAGGTAGACTGATAAGTGCAATCCATCACTACTTACAATAGCTAAGATATGGAAACAACCTAAATTAAGAATTGCAAACATTTTTTAATTAAAGATTTAAAGCAAATGAGGATCTAGATGTGGCATGGAATACTATTCAACTATCAGAAAAGTCAAACCATTTTCTGCAAGATTGACAGAGCTGGAAGTGAGTATCCTAAAGGAAATAAGCCAGAAGGGGGATGATAAATATCAGGTGGGGGTCACTTATATGTGGAATATAGAGAAACCAAACAAAAGGTCAAACAAAGCAAGCTTTGAAATCAACCCTTGAAATCTGACCATAGATAAGTGGCATCCCGGGTTGGGATAAGGCAGAAATGTAATAATGGTGGGTGAAGAGTGCAATGGGCTGTGGAGCACTTTGGCTGTTTTGGTGGTAGAAGAGTTACGGTGACCACACCAGAGGGGAAAAAAATTCTAAACTGTCAATTATGAACAAGGATGTAAAACAATGGTACTTTATTTAAAAAAATAAATGAATTAATTTAAAAATTACTGAAATTTTTCAAAATCTCAAAAAATAATATTATCAATTTGCCCGATGAGAACTGTTTTAGATATTGAGTGTGCTTGCTCAATTGACCAACTAAACATTTTGTAAATAGAGTGTGTTTATGGTTATGGCAGCAGATATCAAATTACTTAATTGCCAATTCCATTTAGTTATATAAAATGCTTCAATGACCCTTAACAAAAGCAACTTGAGTGGATTTAAATGTGAATTTCCATTTTGCCAAATTCCAGCTTGAAGTTCAGTAAGACTCTACTGTAGCATGTGGCTGTATTTTCATAGTCTGCATTTACACGCTTCTGACAAATAATTTTCCGAAGTTATGTAAGGAACAATTTGCATTAATGCCTCCCATCACCCTTGTTCTATGTGCCCTTCCCACCCCTATTTTGATCCTATTCTCTTTGCTCCCATAGAATGTCTCTGGTTTATAGTTGTTTGTTGATTTTAATTTTGACTTTATTACAATTTCTTTTTTTTTCCTGATCCCTTACACTATTACTACGAGTGAAACAATCCAGTATGTTTTTTTTTTTTTCCTTCTGGCTTATTTCACTAACATGATCCCTTCCAGCTCCATCCATGTTGCCACAAATGGCATGAGTTTATCATTTTTGTTAGCTGGGTAATATTCCATTGTGTATAGAAGATGTGTACCACATCTTCTTGATACAGTCATCAATTTGGTACATTTGGGTTGATTCCACATCTTCCTTATTGTAAATAGTCCATGGGGATTACAACTGAGATGAAAAAGCATACTTTGTACAAAAATGAACAATGATGTAAAAATATTTTTTTTTAAAAGGAAAAATCTAACTATAATAAAGTAAAAATCAAAGTCATCCATCAACTATAGCTCAGAGACATTCTGTAGGGGAAGAGGAGAGAGAAGGACTGGGACAAGAGTGGAAAGAATACAAAGGACGATGGTAATGTTGCACGGGTGAGTGGGTGGTGGAATTTCATGGGGAAGTCATACATTGTACAAAAATAAAGGATGATATAATGATTATATTAAAAATATTAAAAAATAAAATACTTAAAAAATGTCTTCATCAGTAGGTTTAGAGCAAAAAGCACAGTCTGTCATCCTTAATAGTATATCCAAATTTAATCATGCTGAAAAATTTTGTTAGTTGGGTTTTCTTCATCTTATTTATGTAGTCATGCCACATTGTAAAGCCTTAGAAAAATAATTCCACTGCTTGTATAGATTTGATTTTTTAAAAAAGATTTATTTATTTATGCATACAGAACTGGGGTACAAGCCAGAGTTGCAGCAGAGGTGAGAGGTTTCACCAGAGACAGTGAGGAGCAGAACAGGCAGACTGATGAAGTACACTGCTGAGGGGAGCAGCGGGCAAGTCAGGAGAGGTCTGTTGCGCCATGTGGGTCACCTTCAGGCGGGGATCAAACTCATGCTGAAGTGGCTTTAGCTTCTTAGTACTGTGCTTTAAACTGCTGTGCCTCCAGGGAGGGCCTAGATTTGATTTTAACTAAGTTAGCAAATTAGAAAGACAAAATTTATTTTGGATATACAGACAAGATTCCAGGTTTTCACACAAATCAGCAAACAGGTATTCAGAAGGCAGAACTTTAGTTAATAAAACTGTATTGTATATTCTCCTTACCCTTTCTCTGTGCAGTCTATGAAGGAAATAGTATAAATACAGCAATAATTCAGATTTCCCTCATTTTTTATTTTTGTAATTCAAACAATAGGTATTTAAACTTTGCAATGATTCTCATTTAGTGCTTTTTTTTAAAGTTCTGCTTTCAACAGCATCTAGCATTTTATAGTATGTTTTAGATACAGAAGCATTTCACTTATTAATAAGATGTCATAAATACACACATTAAAATGATTCTGAGTCGTAGTTGTTTCATTTGTAGATTTGACTATGATTGTTTCTGATTCCTGGTAGTACTTCAGTTTTAGTGGCATTTCAAAGATTTCCTGCATGATCTCAGCCTTTTAGTAACTGAGAACAAATTTTCCAGTTAATTTTAAATAGTTAGACTGATTTAGTATTCATTTCCTTCGGAGAACATTGAGGTTATCAGAATACAAATTCTGGGGCCAGAGTGCCTGGGAACAATTTCTGACTTGCTGCCTACAAGCTTTGTGACCTTTCAAGTAAGTGACTTAAGACTTCTGTGCTTCAACTTTATTCTTTGTAAAAAAGGAATAGTGACAATACCTAATCCATACAGTTGTCACAATTATAGGAGTTAACATTTTAAAGTGCAGTAACACATAATAATGACATACACCATTTTTCAAATGAAAAAGTGAAAGCCACATACTGGGTTTGTTTCAATTTTGTTTAGTGTCACTTTAAATTAAATCAACAAAACTTACTAAACCCACTGCAAAGACTTTGGAAAT